GGTTCAATACCAAATTCCGACCGTCGTCGGCAGCACCGAAATAAACTCAACGGCCCCCTTACACATTCAGCATTTCCTATCCCGCGCGCTTTTTCCTCATCGTCGTCGTCGTCCTCGTCGACGTCGACGTCGACGTGCACGCGAGCCTCGCACGTGCGTAATTATTGGCGACCCTCTATCGATTCGTTTCGGGCCGGTTTCGTCGTAACGAACGAGCGAACGAACGAGCAGGCGAGCGAACGAGTGGCTGTCAAAGGTTGGGTATATTTCCTCGGCAAGTGAGTCTAGGTCACCCGTATCGGGTCGATACCACGAAAGCGGGACAAAGGCGAGTCTTCGACTGTGCCTCACGCGTATTACAGTCGGGCTGACCAGTTTGCAGCTGGTACTCGCATCTTTCGGCGAGTGCAAAAAAAGCTCGATTTCTCTCTCTCTCTCTCTCTCTTTACTTGTTCCGAGAGAGAAAGAGTCTCCCTCGAGAGAGGGACATCGCACTTTCGCGGAGGAATCTATGCCAACGGAAGCCAACGAAAGGCTTGCGATGATATACACGCAGAATGGAATCAATCACAAGCACGTGAGACACGCGACACACGCGTGTAAATTGATCACATCGACAAGGCCGTTCGATTTTATTTTCTTCCTCAAAGTCGAGACCTCGTATAGTTGACCATAAAATCTTAGAAGTCGATTGCAGCTTGGAATTCTTTACTCGAGGATAAACGTTATTAACATCAAGCATAAATTTCAATCTCGCCAAGTCGTACTATGTGTGTGAAGGAACAATTCGAGAAAATGTTACGCACTTTCCACGAGATGAAATAGCGAAAGATTTCTAAAATATAATGTATTGATTATATACAGTATCTCTCTCTTTCTCTTTCTTATCCATAGATTCATGTTCGCGTCGCGTGACTCGAATCGAGGTTTCGGAAGATTTCGAGAGTTGACGGTCCTCGGTCTTATCTCGAACGTAAAGAAGCTTTGTCGAGAAATTGCGAGCAGTTTCGAGATTTTGGCAGCGAGCTGAGCGCGACATTATACGCGAACTCGCGCAACAGAAACGGCGACGGAATGTCGGGGATATAATGTCCGAGGGTTCGACGAAATGGAACAGCGACTTCTCGAGTGAATTTCACGATTTCGTAGACTGGGCAAAATCGGCGACGGCTCTCGTGTTGGCGCACGCACGATCGGTTTGCATCCCTTAATCGAAACGGTTCCCTTCGACAATGCGCTTGCCCGATCCCGGGGCACGCGTCATCTACGAGACCCTCTCTCTCTCTCTTTCTTTCTCTACCTATCTCTTTCTCTGCCCGTCTCTTTCTCTCTTCACTCGCTCACTCTCAGGGTCCGCTGGCAGGTCTGCTGGCACTCCCGAAATAATGTTCGGAAGAACGGCAGAGCACAGGGGGAGAGGAACAGCGAGGGAGCAGAGAAAGGGGGGAAGGGAAGCGGACTGTAATATCCAGAGAAGAGGAAGATGAGAAAGGAGAACGGAACAAGAAACGCCCGGATCGAGCGCATGTTACATAATTTTCGTAACTCCACGGTGAAGCGGAGAGGGCGATGTGAACCTGGTGGGGATGGGGAGTGGACGATGGTCGTCGACGAGGAGCTCCCCCGAGGTGGTATTTCCTATGAAAGGATGAGAGAGAGAGAGAGAAAGAAAATGCTCGACAGAAGGGTATGCGCGTGCTCGTATGCGTGTGTACGTATGTGCGGATAGCTAAATGGATGGATGGATAAATGGCACGACCGGGGGATAGTAAAAAGGGGATGAACAGAGGAAACTAAAATGGAAAAACACCAAGAAGAATGAGTAAATATATTTACAAATGGAGAAAAACAGGGAGAGCGAAACAAATATATTTAAATAGAGAGAGAGAGAAAGAGAAACGAAGGGAAAGGAGGAGGAGGAGGAGGAGGAGGAGGAGGAGGAGGTGGTGGAGATAGTGGAGGCTCGTGTCCTGGTGGGCGGAATGGCGAATCAATCCTCGACGAGGGGAAGGGAAGGATGAGGGCGAGAAGAAAGAGGCGAAGGCGGCGGGTGGCGGCGAGGCGGAAGGGGGTGAGGAGGGTGTGTGGGGAGGGAGGGCGTGAGGGGGTGATCGACGGCGAGTGTGTTGGCGACATATACTCTACTCACCGTGGACGGTGGCAGCAAGATGTCTGCGAGGTGTCTCTTCTTCTCCTCGACGGTGGCAAGAGAGAGGAAAGCCCGATGTCACATACGCCGCTTCATCGGGCCACTGTGCTGCCGCTTAATACCACTCCGCGCGGTGCTCTCTTCGCCCGCCTTCTTCACCTTCTGCCACTAAAAATAAACTCGCTCGCTCTACCGTGCGCTCCTCCGGATGCCCCCGCGCGCGCGCGCGCGCGCTCGCGAGCCTTCTCCCTCTCCCGCTCTCCTTTTCTCTTTCTTTCTCTCTCTCTTTTTATATCGCGCTTTCTCTCTCTCTCTCTTTTCCTCGCTCTTTCTCCTGTTCTCGCGCTCGCGCCTCACGTCTTGTAACGCGACCGACACATTTATCCGCACTTTCGAACCGCTCTCTCGGGCATTCTCGCGCACCTTTCGCGCTCCGCGACCGACCGACCGACCAACCGCTCGATTCCCTAGAATCGAGGAGGTGGCACTGTGTCGCCTCTCGCCGCCGCTACCGCCACCTCCACCACTGTGGATAATGATGGCGAGGACGGCGCGACTTCGACGTCCGGAGCGGCACCTGGGATACCGAAACCACCCGAGAGAGAAAGAGAGAGTTCGTAGCAAGGGGGAGGGAGAGAAGATTCGGAGCCACGCGAGATCCGATAAAGAGTCGAAAAGAGAAAGAAAGAAGGGGCGGGGGAAGGAAGGAGCGACGATGCACGCTAAATCGCGCGTAAATCACGCACTCGCGGGTCGATTACTTATTCCGCGTGGATCTAACTCCGAAATTGTCGGGACGTACGTGCGCGCGCGCGCGCGCGCCCGTTCTTACCCCGGGGGATGCCACTCTGTCGTCGTCACCGAGAGCGCGGGACTGTCGCGCACTTCAGTTCCTCGTGGTCCCGTCGGCCCGCTCTCCCACCCTACTGGCGGTATCGACTGCGCCGGCGGCGACGACGCGACGACGAGGACGACGGTGGTGGTGGTGATGATGGTGGTGGTGGTTGTTCTCGGCGGCTACGACGGTGCGGGGCGGCCTTTTCTCCTTGATGCCCCTTTTCATATAGAGACAAATCCGCACAACGCCGATCACTGATTAAACTGATGGCTTACGGTGATGACGCGCGTTATCACTGGCGACCGGCGAGCCGCGACGACGAGGATGATTTATACTCCGGTTAGCTCGCTACTTCACGCTACTATCGCTGCCTGCTTGTGGCCGCGGATTGTGCGCGCGCACCTCCGTGTAAAACGTACGCGTGTGTGTGTGTGTGTGTCACAGCCGCGACGAAGACGGACACGACAAGTCTTTATCTATCTATCCATCTATCTATCTATCTTATCTCTCTATCTCTTTCTCTGTCTTTGCGTCTGTCAGTATCGCGATCGCGTGCTTCTACGCGAGGTGATCACGCATGTGCGTCAGCGCGTGCACGAAAGTAGATGATGAAAGAACAGAAAAAACCGGGGAAACACAAGCGAGGAAACACAGGCCGAGAACGATTGAAGGATATAGATAGAATAATCGAGAAAGAAATAAAGAAAAGAAATTAAAGCACACACGCGCACGTGTATACAGGAAAAGAAAGAAGGAAAGAAAAGAGAGGAGAGAGAGAGAGAGAGAGAAAGAGGAAGAGAAACGCGGATAGTAAAGTGCGTAAGACGGGGAAGGGCTAGGGGGCCTTGGTTTGTCCGAGATCAGGTGCGAATTAATACGCGTATCAACGGTACCGCGGTCGCCGTTATACTAAATCGAGGAGAACCGCCTCGGGAGGTTATATCGCGCTCGCTCGCTCGGCTTCGCGGGCGCATGCGCATTCTCGCGGTTCGCGCCACCCAGCCTTATGACCCGCCACCCCCGTCGTCGCGACCTCCACGATGTGATGCAGATTTTAAGATCGCTAAATTTTGCGATTTTTTTATCCTAAATAAAGCCGAGGCCCTTAAATAAATCCTGTTCCTTTGTTAATTACGTCGCTAATCGAAATAGCATAATATTTCATTCAATTCGAAAGAGGAGATCTCTTGACTTTTGTTAATGATGACGTCATATTTTTTTCTAGCATCGCGAAATGCTTCAAGATCAAAAACCACGATTGAGCAATCATGGTTGCCGATATTACTATATATATACACCGTATTTTCGTCTTAAGTGGTACATATTTTTGACAGACCTAAAACTAGATCGAAATTAACGAATTTTTGTTGTAGGTAAAACTATCAAAAAATGGAAATACATGTTTTATAGAGTAATCTTTTGAGAATATCTCCCTAAAGTTTCAATAAAAAATATCAAAAATTGATATTTCCTGGCAGCTATTTTCTTGAACGGTATTTGTAAAAATGGCATTCGCGGTATCAGAGATATCTCCGCCTTTCCTCATTTGAAACAAAAAACAAAAATTTTCTGTTAAACTACATGAATAAAACTAATACTTGTCATAGGATTTTTTCGATTTATGGCTTAGTTTTTTTCATAAATTAAAAAAAAATAATTTTTAGGTCGAAAATCGCATTTTTCGCTACAAATCGCTGCCATTTTTCGAAAAATCAATATTTAAAAAATCGGCTATGACAAGTATTATAGTTTTATTCATCTAATTTAAGGAAAATTTTTGTTTTTTATTTCAGATGAGAGGAGGCGGAGATATATCTGGTACTACGAACGCCGTTTTTAGGAACATTGTTCGGGAAAATAGCTGTCAGGACATCAATTTTTGATATTTTTTATTGAAATTTTGGGGAGATATTTTCAAAAGACTATTCTACAAGACATATATTTCAATTTTTTAATCAAATATAATTTTATTCACAATAAAAATTCGTTAATTTGGACCTAGTTTCAGGTCTGTCAAAAGTATGTAACCCTTTAATACGATATATAAAAATCTGCGAATTAATTTTACATATCTCTTCTGATTTATCTCTCCGGATTCCTTAATATATATGTATACTGCTTTTCCTTATTGTCGTGCCAAAGAGAAGAATCCGAAGAAAAGCAATTTCGCTGGCTAATAAAATTAATTTTTCTTGAAACTTGCGCACTTACTAATCTCTTAATTAATATTACAAGAATGTGCTTCGATAAAAAGTAATATAAACTGAAGTATAAGGAGAGAGCCACTAATTCAAATCTTTCAAGAATAGAGTTTCCGAGCTTCGATAGGCCAGTTTATTACGCGAACACGATTCCACGAGAGATGGCGCTAAACGACGCGACCTAAAGTTGTGGCGCGAACTTTTGAAATACGGTCTAGCAAATGTTCGACAAATATAGATCTAGCTTACACCGATATACTTTACCTCGTACTAAGTACTACACTGGCCAATCATAGCCGTTCCTTTAAAGAATGGAATGGCTGTGATTAGCCAATGTAGTATTTACGTATTAAAGTATATTGGTGTAAGCTAGGCTATTGAGCGAGTTTAGCAGAGAAAACTGCTCAGTAGTAATCGAACGTGATTGGCTCTTACTTTTAGAACCAACAAATCAACGTCGAATGTTGACAAGAAGATAACTGAGCACTTTCTCTACTGAACGCGACCAATTGCTTTACTATATATTTTACGATCTATGCCTGAACCATAGTAATAATAAGTGAAAAGGAGCAATAGCTATTGTTGTTGTCTTTAGGTTAAGTGATAGAGTGTTTTCGAGTGATTCTTTTGATAAAAGAAAAAGCGTGCAAAATTCTTGAGAAAATAGAACGCGAGTAAAGTGAGAAAGAGATATTGAATATTTATCTTATCACTATCTTATCCTTCCTTCGGGTTAGTACGCGGCTCGATAAATTGTTAGCAATAAGATAAAACACTATCATTTTTACTTGTTTTTTCCTTATTGTTGTAAGACATTCGCGTTGCATTATTTTGAATAAAAAACTATTTCTTTCACGAGAATTTAGATCCGTTTTTTTTTTATTTTATAAATATCAGTGCGAAAAAGTATCAGTAATGCTTCTTTTACAGTGATTGACACACATTTATGTTTCCTATGCGGATTATCGTGAGATTTATGAGTCAACAAAGATGGTCACCGTACAAGATATTGGTCTTCAACTTACAAAACCAGTAAAAGAGTTAGCAAAATGGAACTTTCCTTTTTCACAAGTATATTTACATTATCAATTTTCAATTATATAATAATAGTAATGTGTTATGTATTAAAATAATATCTTTTATTATTGCAGACTTTGGAGAAATATTGTTCATTATTCAATACAACGTGCAATAAAAGTTTTGGCGAAGCTGGACTTGTCCTGCAAAACTCTGCAGCTGTATATGTCCATAGACTCGATTCTCTCTGGAGTACAACAGAAAACTCCAAAAATTTATTATTGAATGATGAGTGAGTACCTCATTAATATATTAAAAAATCATATATACTAATTTAAAAAATTCTGTAAGTATATTAAATTATTTCTCTTTTAGACACGAAGAAGCAACACAAAATTCTACCAAGAAAAGAAATAGGAAGATTGACATGTGCTTTAAAGAATTCAAAGCTGTCAACTTTGCCAAGGAAATAAATAATAATATCAATATTAAAAAGGATCATATAACGCATGATACTGTCAAATCAAAAAAGCGCTGTTTTACTCAACTAGAAAAGGGTATTGCGCAACATGTCTCTATTGATATCTATGATGTAAATGGAGAAGTCATTGGTAAAAAATATGATTTTCGGTAAGTATCCCATTGTATTTTTAATGCATCTATTTTATTGTAAGATAATAATATCTAATAATATGTTGTAGCTGCAATCAAAACATAAGTATAGATGGTGTATTGGTCGATGCTTTGGCTGAGTTTGCACCTCAAGGTATATCATTGATTGTGAGAATAAATTTTTTTATTTAATTTAATATTTCATAGAATTATTTGTGTTTCAGATTTTTGTTGCGACAGTGATAATTCTGAGTCCTTATCGACTCCGGACTGTACAATACACGATGATAATAATCAAAACGATAGTAGCGATGTTGAGTCTGAAAGGAATAATAACGATTCACTGGAAGAAGAGATTTTTGATTCAGTTACATCTTTGGAATCGACTCAACAAAATCTGTCTTTGTCCGAGAACACTGGTTCCAATAATACACTCAGCGATATATCAAATGAAATGTATCCTAATACACAAAACAATAACAACTCATTGATAACTCACACCAACAGCACTATTTTGTCGAATAATAATGATTTGGATAATCATTCTTTGAACAATATCGGGAAAGATATAGATGTTGGTAGTGTATTGGATAGTCCACCCGAGTCGGTAAATTCGAAAGATAGAAGGTATTTTTGATATTTTTGCTACTTGTGATGTCTGACTACAAGAAACTTGTGTGAGAATTTTAAAATCGATGATATTATTTTAGAACGTCATCGACGGACGATCTAAGCTTGTTAAACGACACAAATGAGGATCTATCGCAAATAAATTTAACTACCAACATTATACAAAATACTTCTTCAAATAGCAGTACAAAGAGTAAAATAAAATTGCAGTCTTCGAGATCGAAATCGGTACACATAATAACACTTACAACTTTGCTATTAATTAATGATGTTTGGTGATAATATTGCTCAATTACTTATTTATAGACTAAACGAAAGTTTAACCGAATAACAAAGGACGAAACCTTTACACTGACTAAGAGAGGACAAGGTATAATAAAGAAAAATCCCGCGCATGTTTTGGAGGAATCGATTTTGTCGCGAAAAGATAAATCCATCTATAGTCTGTCTAGAGAAATTGTCTGATACAAATTTATTGATATACATATATACTAAACGACGAAATTCCTTTTCCAGATAGACCAAATATGTTCAAGAAAAATTTGAGTACCTGCATAAAATATATACGAGAGTACAATTCTTTGCAATACAACGATGTGATGAATGTAGATTTGGACTTCTTAGGATTTCAATTATGCGTTAATGTGGAAGCGAATACGAATACTAGCGATAATAACATAACGGACACTTCGATTAATGAGATCTCCGAATCCCGCAGTTCGACTCCCATGAACATGTCACCTCCGCATGAAAATTTCTGCGATATTTGGCTGCAATCGGACTCGCCGCATTTCTTACCAGTAAATCGATGCTCGCTAAAATAATTCATAGGAAACATTAATTGTAAGATCTAATAAATCGAATAACGATTTCAGAAAAATATTGACAAATGGCACGAATGGATACAACCTAAATTACGCGAGGCCGAACAAAGATCAACGTTTTGCATTCGCGACTATGCGTCGCAAATTATGGAGACTCTGAAGACGAATGATCAACGGAAAATCAACTTTGACGCCGTTATTCAAAACCAACACGAAGTGGCCAGATACTTTTTAGCCTTGTTGGACTTGGTAAGAGACACGATATTTAAAAAAAAGAAAAGTGATATAATCGATGTAATCGAAAAATTACGTAATCAACAATTTTTAATGAAATTTATTGTCCGCAGGCCTCGAAACAAAATGTAAATATAAACGCGGATAAGGATCTCAAGCATGATATAGAAATTGTTTTATGTGAAGAGAATAGACCGTGTTCCATCAATTCTGGTTAAGTGGAGTTATGTGATTAATGAGCAAATATTCTAGTTCCAAGGGTGTTGCATATATGTATATTAAAGAAAATCAATTTATATATATCTTCGACTATAGGGAACAGAAAGCCCTGTTTGTACTGTGATATTCTATCGTAAGAGTGCAATTGAATATCTTTATCAAAGATATATATCTTGTATTTGTGTATTAAATACTTTTTGACGGGATATCTGCATATCTATCTTTTATTTCAGCCATTCCTTTTACTACCTTTTATTTCCTTTAATTGTCAAATTATAATTATATATATAAATGTATACGTCTGCAATTTATTGGAAATTTACGTTTCTATCGTACGTAATATTTTCATTTAATCATCGAGCGGTAATTCGTTGCCGGGCGAGTCGTAACGAGGCGTTACAAAAAAGAAACTGTGTTACAGCGTGAGATTGATTTTTTTTTTTAAATTAATATTGGAACGCATTCGTCGTTTATACCATGTATAACTGTGGCGATATGTGACAAAATGACAGAGCGTGCATTCACAAACGTGCGGATCTCTGTCGCACACCACGACGCCACGCACATCTCACACATACAATGTATGACAATTGGTCGTAGTGTAATATACACAGAGAGAGAAATGCTCAACGCATGCGTCTCGTCTGTGCCGAGCCGACGACGGGCGCACCGGCTCACGCTTTATATTAGTTTACATTAGGACAGGCATATAGACACCGCAAACGCCGTGTAAATTGTGTTTTTTTTTAACGCGCTGACAATTGCTTTCCCGGATGATCGCGTTGAAAGAAAATTGTCGTGCGTCGCGTTCCGCGTGAAATTAAATGTCATTGAATAGAAAGTAAGTTTATAAATTTTTATTATTATTTTTTTTTCATTGATGAGTGCCTCTCGCGGAAATATAATAGTTAACGTTTAAGAAAATTAGCGTTAACATTACAGTGTGTGTGTGTGTAATAAAATTAGAAAGAGTGACGGAAAAAAGATGTAGGAGATGGAAACTCGGGGATGTTACAGAAAAGTTTAATATAGAGTCCACTTGATAGTAACCAATTAGACGACACAGATCTATACACTTCGCTCCCTTGATCTTTCTCTCTCTTTCTCTCTCTCTCTCTCTTTCGCGATGCGGCAGAGATATTCAATTGAGATAGTTGCGTTCTGTTGCGTATCGCGTCTTCGCGCTGATACACACGTATTATCATTTACATGTTTGTGTAACATATAAATTACTACTCAATATTATTAAATATCATCAATTAACGATTTGACAAAAACTCAATAATTTAAGTTTATTTTAAAGTGTTTCTATTACGTTAATATCTCTAAGATTTTTATTATTAAAAAAATTTTTTTTTCTGCTTTTTTTACGTGCAAAATTGGCATAATTTACTCGCTTTTTCAAACGTAACTTTGCACAGGGATAAAACTAACTGCGTCAGCATGAACAGCAAGAGTGCATTACTGGTGCAACGATGGATGCTCCAACCGCGCTTGTTACTAGTTCTCATTTTGCTGCAATTTATCATTCAGTTTTTCACATCCGTCTATCTATACAAGTATATCACAAACGTGGAGAGCGATCTTCGCTTAGTAAAAAGACAGTATCCACCAGCACTTTCACGGCGGAGACGCAGCAGCGCATTGCTGACCGGCGAAGACAATGCCGTTTCTGACATATCAAGTAGAGTACGTATAAAGTATATATGTAATAATTAGTATATATATAAAAGAGATCGTTTTAACAAGAAAAAAAGTGTGTTTTTTCACTTCTACTCGTAAAAACAAGTCTAACTTTTTAAAGAGAGGAATGACTTCAAAATTCTGGAATTTTCTAATTATTAAAATATAATTAAATAAATATATGTATAATGAAAAAAATATAAATAAAAAAAGAAAAGAAAAAAATGTTAATTTTGCGGTCGAGAAAAATGTAATTTCTTAATTCTCTGTGAATATATGTAAATCCTAGAATTTTCTAAGAGATTAAAAATTTCCTGATTAAATTTCTTTTTAAAAATATCTTGGATCTCTCGTGTATAATATCACAGAATTGCTCGGTTGCAGATTCGAGAGGATAAGGAAATACAAGGTACAAAGAAGGTAACAGCCTCCCCCATCATGGTATCTGGCTCTGCGTCTTCGCCAACGGCGGCCGGAGGTCAAGACCCAAGTTGGGTCTGGTTGAACGCCGACACGCGAATACAAGTCAGTTCTCTGCCATTGTTAGAACTAGTTACCTGCTTCGCGATACATCCTCCTCAATGCTTTCGTCAAACTTCAAACTTTGCCGCGATGTTCCTCACTACAAGTTCCGTCACCTATACATATAAAATATCGCGTATGTAATGTAGGAACTTGAAGATAAGGAAGCTAAGTGTTCTTTAGACCCATTTCCCTTATTGCAACAACAATAAAAGTTCGTATAAACATAAACACTTTTATACGAGCTTCTTATTATTTTAACGTGAGAATTAGATCCAAACTGGGCGAGATATCGAGCTTAAGATAATATTAGGTACGCCCAAGTGAAACGTGGGCTAACAATAAGATCGTTGTTCCATAAAATTCTCAATCTATATATCAGTTAAACATATATATTCTTTCCTCATCTTTGAAAAATGATCTATAAAATAATTTGTTTTATCCAAACATTTTAAATTTGTTACAACTCAAATATTTTTATACAAAATTGAAAGCAACTATTGGACTAGGCCATAAAAAATACTTTAAATAAATTATAAAAATTATAAAAATTTAAATTATAAAAAAATATATAAATCTACACCATCTATAAATATATAAATCTTTACCATGTAGTAAAAAAAATTTATTGTGAATAATTTAATATAAAATGGCACTATATAATATTCGAGCAACCTATATATCTACTTACCCTGTGTTTCAGTTCGATGCAATCGAGAACTTTTGCCGTTCATCCGCAAAGTACTGTCCACCGGGCCTTCCTGGCGCTCCCGGAAACCCAGGTCCACCAGGTGAGCCGGGTCTACCAGGTATCCAGGGATTGGTGGGACCGAAGGGACCCCCCGGACAACCCGGCCATCCTGGCACCAGAGGACCCAAAGGCGACATCGGTCCACCGGGATTCGATGGAAGAGACGGTGTGCCCGGTGAGCCCGGTTTGGACGGCATTCCCGGTAGAAGTGGCCTGGATGGCATACCCGGGACCAATGGTAAGCCGGGTATGAACGGGTCATCCGGATCGCCTGGAAGAAATGGAACAGACGGTACGTTTAGATGTAGAATTATTTGACGAATACATGGCACAGTTAAAAATTCGATATAAAGAAGGATGTATATGTTGAAGATAAACATGCGAGATTAAATGTAAAGTACTTGATGGGAAAACGAATAAATGCATGGAAAAGCGGCTTTTCCCCTTAAATTTTTATTTTTAGCCAAATAGACATATATTATTTTATAAAAATGCTGCTTTTTAACATATTAATTTTTTTTATTACATAGAGATAATTTTATTTTGCTGTTATATAAAAATGTTGGTTATTACTATTTTTACTTCTTTATATCCGTAGTATAGTCGTAAATTTCGTAACATCATAATTCTACAACATTTTACAGCAGAGCCGTAAATTATTCTTTGCTACTTCGTAAATAAAAAATGCACTGATATCTTGTATTTATTTAGGAAGACCTGGCCAAATGGGGCCTCAAGGACCACCGGGACCTCGCGGTGGGTAATAAAATGTACCAGTGATTTCATCACTTCATTTGATTCACAAGTGAATTTTTTATGCCTCAGGAGATTTAGGTCCGCCCGGTCGTCCCGGAATGCCGGGAAAAAACGGCACGCCAGGTATACAGGCTTACAAAATGAACATCCATGATCGCAACGTGCATGACATATTGATACCGCCATCCATCGTAGGTAGGATAAAGACCACCGGCATTTTATTCTCTTATCGAGATTAATGTATTTTTTTTTTTCTTTTATAAATTTATTATATTTATATTATAT